TGCTCAAACACTGTAAAACTATTCTACACTATAGCAGCTTGTAATATTGGAGTAACTCAGCCATGCATGTTCAGACCATTTCTAAAGAAGAATAACGGCACTGAAAGCTCCCACTGCACGCTGACAGGATTGGTTCTTTAGATTTTTAATGTATGAAACCCCAGAAGTCTGAATAAGTGTTTTTAAGGCTGTCAATGCAGTTTCAAGGTGGAAACACTCAGTCATGGTGCTGACGACTTGTTTCACTCATAATGTGTGCTCCAGATCATTAAATACACCATACAGACATGTTAACGAGGCAAAACGACACCTGATTTTTACCTGAGTGGGTCTTTAAGTGGAATAAAATGAGTTCATTTCTGCATGAAAATGAGTAACTTACACGCACATTCAGCCTTAACAGCGATCACAGCAGGTTTCGTGTGCAGACTATCAGTACTGACTTTTACCTTTTCTTCCTCTGTGCTGCTGGTCTGACCCGTTTCGAACTCAGAGGTCGCTGTGAGTTCATCGTCCTGTCTGTGAATCATCGGGTCAGCGTGGTACTGGGAGGCCCACTCAGTGTCCCCGTCTCCCCCCAGCAGGGCTCCGGCCTCCAGCGAGCGTCCGACCCACCACAGACCCAGCCTGCCCTCACGGAGGTGCGAAGGACCGATGGCGAAGCCGCGGGGAAGCAGCGACGAGAGAAATGAGACGAGGGCCGACGGCACGGGAGGAACAAGGCAGGTCGTCATCCTGCAGAGAGAAAGCAGTCAACATGATGATGTTACTGGAGACCGCTGTGCAGCACATATTTGGCATTTAGTGTCCAACAGGTCTCACGTGAACATCTTTTACTTTACATCATTCAAAAAGTTTGTTTGCCACAACTTTGGTAGAACATAGACTTGTTTTGAAAGCTGCAATCTAACATTTCTTCCTGACTGTAATCAATTTTCTGGATGTTTTATTACTGTTTTCCTCCTTTTTTATATACATCTACTATGTATTTTAGTTGTAGTTTCAGTGGCTTATTTATATCCTTTACTTATCCAGCATACAAAAGTTGTGACCTTGAGTGCAGTTTTTGTACAAACAAGACAGCACTGATATTTCTGACCTTTTATCATTTCTATCAAGACACGTAACATGAATGGGGGAAACAAAGCTTTGTCACAGCACACATTTTGACTCATAGCAGGTAAAGCGCAGCCCTGATAATAACTTTAATACAGTTTTTTCACGCTCCAAGGCTGCATTCTTTCTGTGACACTTCAGTGGAGCTGCTAATGATAGTGATAAAGCTCTATATAGGCAGATACTGATACTAACCAGGTGTTTTCTGTTGTGCTCTAATCACACACAGCAACAACGCTGCTAAAAATAGGTTTCACAATCTTCTTTCACCAGCGGCAAAATGCGGAGCTGGTAATTAAGATTATCAGCAATGAAGTGTAGTGTACAGAAACCCTAATTATGTCAAACATGGAAATAGTTGCTGCAATGGAAATGAACTGAAAGAGATGTTTGGTAATACAAATTATTAAAGAATCAAACAATTTGCTTTAAGGTGTATTTGTGCTGAATACTAGGGCAGAACAATTCGGCAAAAAATCTAATTGCGATTTTCCAAACACATATTCTGATTTCTAATATAATTTGAAAGCATCATTTCAATTTTTATTGTGGAACACATTTGAAACATGTGACCATGAGACACCATCAACATATCAACTGCTCTGTATTCTAATACAAGGCTGAGAAGTCAAAGGTACAGAAATGTTTTTATTACAATTTTCAGTGCCACTGAAGATAAAACAGTTACTACAAAAGCTGTGGCTGTCTGAAGTTGAAAAATTAAAGTAATAACAAGAAAAAAAATCAAATGATTCCAATCAGAAAATAACAGGAACCTTCTGTAAATGGCCTCTGAAGCTGAAATAGGTTCATTATTCATGGATCAGAAGCAGCATCTAAGTATTGAACATTCTACGATCAAATTAAAATGACAAATATTAAAAAATACACCCCGGGGCGGACACGCTGCATAATGCATATCCTAATTTGCAGCCTTTGCAATTTCTATTTGAAATTGATGAACTGTTCGGCTCTACTGAATGTTAGAGCTGCAACAATTAATCGATGAGTCGTCAACTATTAAATTAATAACCGACTAATTTGATAATCAATTATTCTGTTTGAGTACTTTTTTTAAAAATAGAAATAAAAGTCAAAGTTCTATGATTCCAGCTTCTTGAATGTGATGTAATGAAACACTGATCAGCGTCATTATTTTTATTTATTTATTTTACTGTTTTCTGACATTTTATTGACCAAACAATCAGTTAATCCAGAAAATAATGAACAGATTAATCTACGATGAAAATAATTTGTTTGCAATTAGCTACGTGCAGCCTAAATGAATATTTTATATTACGGACTGTTTTAGGATGCACACTGATATTATTCTGTAATTGTTGTGTAGTTTATGGTATTTAATTTTACTTTTTTTGAACAAGCGATGTTTTATTACAGCAATTTATTAAAATACTCAAGTCAAGTAACAGTGATTCTAACTATATACGCTGTTCTAGCCCTGGTCCTCTCTTTGATAATAGTAAAATACATCAGTTTATATTTATAATGTATAACAAAAGAAGCTGTCTGCACACTGACTAACGCAGGGAAAATGCATTTGTGGCCAACAACAATCACCACAGCGCTGCTAGCATGTTAGCTTTGAGCTGTTTGGGTCGATTCAAACAGAAGTCAGTCTCATTTAGTGAATTGTGGATGTTGTTCCTCTTGTTTATTTACTAATAGTTCATATTTATAAATAACAGTCAAACTACCGGAGCTTAAAAGACTTGCCAGACAGTTCGAGTTAAGCCAACTTTCACTGTCTGTTAGCAGCAGTTAGCTAACAAACCAGCAAAAGTGCGCGACTCGCACACGATTTCAGGACTCGTTTTGATAATTAAAATAACTGTGTACATACATGGGACGTGGTGGACGTCTTGAATTGATTGCTTAGTTTTAAAACACTTAATTTATCCCGCTGCAAACTCTGCGAAAGCCATCGTTATCCAGCTGGAATAAGCATCACAGACGGTCCACCTCCTAAGTGGTCCGACCTGAAAACGAGTGTCGGTGTATTTGGTTCCGCAAACAGACAGCTCTAAAAAAAAAAAAATACTGAAGTTTTATTATTAAATTATGACAGTATAAACATTTAAATTAGGAATTATCATTTTATTATGAATTCTATTTTATTCAATTATCATCATTTATTGAATTTCCCTTCTGGGATAAATAAAGTATTTTTCATTTCATTTCATTCATTCATTTCGTTTCATTCATTCATTTCGTTTCATTCATTCATTCATTCATTCATTATCATAAAAATAGATAGTATGGCACTGGCCTATATAAATCAAAAGATGTTTAAAGGTACCCATTGGGGTTTTTTTTATATATATAAATGCCAAAATGTATGGATAAGACTCTTAAGATGAACAATAATTTGTCTGAGTGAGTCCTGCACATTACAGTTAGATTAAAAAGTTAAAATAGAAAAAAATAAAATTTCAAGAAAAAGAAGAAAAAAAGCATTTTTGAAAATATTAATGCCACACAAAGATATAAAAGCAAACCAGTGTGGAGTAGATGAACATGACAGGTCAGACAGATACTTACTTAAAATCAATGTGGGACAGGGGCATAAAGAAGGGGTCAATGGCCATTTGGCCCACCCTATTTCCAGCACCCTTGCTCCTTATTCATTTAGATAAGAAAATGGTCTCGCTGCCTATTTTCTGGTACATAATAATCCGACTGCAGCCCATTATCATTCTGCTTTAAGGGAAAAAAAGTTGGTTGCTTGTTTGTGTATCTTTAAACTAATCATAATTGTCTTGGACGGAGCTAAGTTGAGGATATTGTGAATGTGTGCAAAGAGGCAAAAGTGTTATCATTATAATAGCTAATTCCCTGCAAAAGAAAACACCACAAAAACCAATAAAAGAGGTCTGTTGACTTTGTGATAAGACTTCTGCCAATAAAAGACATCGATGTGATTTGATAATCGGTGCCCAGCAGGTGAAGCTGGTCGAAACTTTAGCTCTGGAGGAGTTCAGTGGATGACTGGCTGGTGTTTGTGGATTTATTAAACTGATATCACTGAAGTTTGAGTGAAGTAGAAAGAGTAGCAAGAGTTACCTACAGGAACTTTCATTTTACTGTGGTAGTCTTGCAAACATTCATTGTTGGGATTCACATCTACCGTTGAAGGCTAATGGAGCTAAACTAACTGTTTCCTCCCCGGCAGCCTTTATCCTCCCACCCTGCTCACATCTGGTGCCATCTCCAGCTGTAGCTGCCCACTGTTGAAAGCGATTATGTGCTCAATAGGTAATCCATTAGCTGCAATGGGATGATAATATTCTGTATCTACAGTTTATGATTCCACACCGAATCTGTTTGATTTGGTTCAAAATGACTCAGGTCCACTGACACAGTCAGTACGGTTGCTGTGGAAGCTGCAAATCATAATCGTCAGTGTTTCAGAGGAGATAATACTTCTTAAAAACATTTTACTTTCTGCTTTCCCGAGCTGTGGGTCTCTTCTCATGACAAACAGCAGCATCTTCTGGTCAAAAGGTCAAATCTCTGCAGCTCTTGGTTTGTTGTGGTGCAGCTGAAGTAACTGCAGCAGCATCATCTAGTGGCCATTTCTGTAAATATCACCAGGAGGGGAAATAGAGTTTCTTGGGTTATTTATAGCACAATAGGATACCTGTACAGAAGCATATTACATAAGATGCTCCAGAAATGATGTCTTGTGTAGCAGGTTGTTCCAAACAGAAGGGTCTTGATGACTGTACAGGAAGAGGACCACACCTCACGATCTGAGTCTGTAAACTGGCTCGTATGACTCAAATAACATCGCTGCTACGTAGTTTGGGGAAACCTGGAAAAAGCCGAGCTGCTGCTTTCTGAGCTAGTTGGAGGCGACAACTGTGACTTTTGGTTCATGCTGTTACAGTAGCCTGAAGAAAACAAGTGTGTGACTGACTTTTTCCAGGTCGGTGTGAGAGCATCGGTTTAATTGTGGAGGCGGTTCTTTTTAACCCTCTGAACTCCGAGCTGTTTCTCACCATATTTGTTCCTGTCATATTTGTAAGTTGTTACTCACTGTGGGCTAATTTTTCACTACAATATAAAGTCCTGCTCCTCTATGGAAACAGCACAACCATGAATGGAAGTAGAGAGAACTCAGGGATGTCTACTGTGCAGCATGACACAGTTAGAATGCCGTAAATCATAAACAACTGAAAGAGAGTTGAAATCCTTTGATTGATTATTATTTATCTAAATGTAGTATGTTTTGCTTTTCTCTCAGTCTCTCTAATTTGTTCCGATACTCGTCTCCTCTCTCCTCTGTGTAAACACTGCCTGCAGTTCAACCGAAAAGTCACAGAATTTTTGACTGTTGGTCACAGCTGAGTCAGTCATGGAGAATAATGTGATTCTGATGAAATATCCTGATTTTAACTTTCAGATTTATTTGTTCTTTTCCTGATTGCACGTCAGACATGATACATTCATGGACTGTCAGAAAGTTTTTTCAGTATCTGGCTCAGAGTAAAGGTGTCATTTTTGCAATTTTTTTGTTCAGAACAGATTTTGGGGTCGTGGATTAGCAGCCAGAATAAGTGGTCTACTATTGTTTCATACTTATAGTTCATGTTTTATATAGACTGCAGTCCATTTTCTTCATATTTCCAAAGAGAAAAGTCCTGTCTGTTTAATATTTTGCTTCAGTTTTAGTTGCAACATAGCGTGGGTACGAAGGATTACAAATGCATTACATACGCTGGGTTGGGGTGGTCCAGGAGTTATTTAAAAAGTGTAAATACTCTGTGTACGTAGTGTAGTACAGACGAGACTTGGCTATGAAACAGATTAAATTAGAGGAAGTCGTGTGATTGATGGTAGGCGAGATAATATTTGAGAAGTCGACCTGAGAGAGGTTTGTTTACTTGTTTACAGTTTGTGTACGAAGGTGCAGACATCAGAATGCTGCCAAGCTTCCAATTAGCTGCAACCTTAAAAAGGTCAGAACTCGCTAACAGCAACAAGTATTCAGCAAATTTGTCACAAACATTTTCTGTGTGTGGAGGGTGGAGTTCCTCTGAAGGCTCCATTCAGGCAACGCTGACGCCACCTTCAACCCGCCCTGTTGGGCAAATACAAATTTACCGTAATTTTATTATTGCTGTGAGTCAGTGCTCTGTGATATTTACCTGGACAGAAACACTGAGCTCACTGAAAGGTGAAAGGCCTGCTTGTCGTCTGCAGCTGGAACATCTGGGCGGAGACCCTGCTGGAATGACGGAGGCCTGACTGATCTCTGCAGATTTGCTCTGCTCGAAGGTGGGCGTCAGACGAGAAACACAAATCCATGAGAGAAGCCAACAACCAGAGTGTCTTCATTACAAACACTAAGAGTTTGTGGGTTTATTCTGATGCCATAAAACTTTAGTACGACTAAATAAAAAGACAGTGTCATGCAAAGACGAAGCAAATACAGCATTTATGTCCCTTTAAAATCACTTCTTTTCTTCCTTATTTTTATTTACCTCATTAAAGAACCAGTGTTTCGTAGATAAATCCATCAAAATGACATTTTGTGTTCTTATCTGCATTTGAACTGACACAAGTGTTTTTGATCCATGTTTGTCTTTTTATACTGTCAAGAAATCTCATGAACCAACAACGCTTCAGTCTGTCATTTCATGCTCTCACTCTGTCTCTAGCTGTCAACACAAACTCCACGAAAGATGTGAACATGTAGTTAAGAGCCACAAACACTATTTGATTTGTTGTCAGATATTACATTTTGATAATTGTTTAGTCATTTTTAAGAGAAAAAAAGTCAGAATTCTCTCATTTCAGCTCATTAATTGTGAATGTTTTTTGTTTCTTTGGATAAAAATGGTAAATTTATCAGTTTGAGAACACTGCTAAGTATGCAAAAAGTGGAAGGGTCTGAATACACTGTAACAATTTATCAATTAATTGTCAACTTTTAAATTAATTACCCGCTGTTTGGATAATTGTTTAATCCATGTGAGTCATTTTTAAGAAAAAAAAAGTGTAAATTCTCTGATCCTAGCCTCTTAAATTTGGTTTCTTTCCTCCTCTGGGACAGGAAACTGAGCATCTTTGGTTTGTGGGCAAAACATTTGTCATTTTGGACTTTACGAAATGACATTTAATGACATTGTTTTTAAAATTTCTCACATTTCAAAGACCAAAATGCTAATTGATTAATGCAAAAAAAAAAAAAATAAACATTCAACAGGTTAATCATCAGCAAGGATAACGAGCGATTGCAGCCTTCATGTTGTAATCGTCTAAAACAGTGAAACGTTGTCTTATTTAGAAAAAAATGCTCTAACAACAGTGCATCCGTTTGGGATTATTTTCAGCAGCTGAATCCACATTTGGTGCTTCCGTGAGTATTTACAGCAGCAGGCAACATGTGTGTTCATTCAAAAGAAGAAATAACTCAACATTCACTGCTAGGACACAGTTACTGTTGGTCTTTTTATGATTATTAGTAACAAAAAACTGCAGATTATCAGCTTCCTTGTCCTTCCTGTGAGTAAACAAAACGGGTCGACAGCAGACGCAGCTTTGAAAGTGAATTAGTCAGTCTTTGGTTTATTATGCAGCCGGTGACATCACGTCTGACAGAGGCACAGCCCCCACACACAGCAACAACGACATAAAACAAGTGCACACATGGAAGCAGTCAAAGTCGGAGAAACAAACAAAAACAAAAACAAATAAAACACTGTAATGTTTACAGCAGTTGTTTCTTCTGAAATCACTGAGCTTCGTCCACAGATAAACTCCGCACTGCACAGCTTCAGTGGACGACGGTCAGTGACTGGACACAGAAAAGCTGACAAACCGACATTATCATCGTCTAAATGGGAAACAGGAGTCAGTAGAAGTGTGTTGCTGATGCTGCTGTGATTTCAGAGAACAGAACGGTACCGAAGCTGAAGAAAGAAAAAAAAAATCCTTGGTTCAGTCCAGAAGAGACTCAGTCAACTAATAAAAGGTTGTATCTTCATAATGACGTTTCAGTTTCACTTAAATATGACCTACTGAAGATTATCATCAAGGGAGTTCATTATTTTTTACCATTTATCAAACAGAATACAGCAACTTGAGAGCTGTGCAGTCATTCAATCATGTGGAAAACGTGTACAAAATGTTGACAGTACAGTATTTTTCTTCCTTATTGTTGCTGGTTTCAACTGTTTCAACAAAACTGAAGACATGAAAGCTATAAAATAACACATATGGATTCATGTAGCAAACAAAAAGTGCAAAAAAATGTGAGTTCTTTCAGCATTTTTGACCAGTTCTTGGCCTGATATGCATGGAGCAGGTGATTAAGACTATTTCCTCACACTGCCTCAGTCTTAAATACAATTTTAAAAAACCCAAGACGTTCCACCAGTTAACTTCCAACACTTGTTAACTGGAAATAAACACTTTTTTGTTTACCACATAAATCATGATGTGTTTTAGGGGTTTCCTACCATCAGAATGGGCCTTTTGGGGGATGACTATGCATGAAGGTAAGCATGATGTATCCCCATACAGTGAAAGGTAATGAGTCGGACAGAAATACAAGCATTTCCCTCACATTTGATGAACAAAAAATGTCAACAATGTGTTATGCTTCAGTAGAATGAAACTAACAAAACTGGTCAAAATAAATAAATAAAATGTGTTAATGTCAATGTCAATCATCATAACATCAATTTGTTTCAAATACAGTATTTTATTGGCTCGTATTTTAGAATTTCCGTGTTTGTTTTGATGTTAATACTGCAGCAAAGTTTCTCAAATTACAAAAATAAAGGTCCCTTATGTGTTAATATTTGGCCTCTTTTACCTTGAAAAAGATGCAAATTTGGTGTGTATTCACAAGTAATTAGGAATTAGGCCCCTAAAAAGCTAGAACCAGTCCTACAGGAAGTTACACAGTGCTTCCTAATGTTGGATTATTAATTTTCATGCTGCATTACAGGAACAAACAGCAGCAAAGTGTTTCTTCTGAAGGAGGAAAACGAGGCCCTCAACTCGTCTGATAGAGCAGAAACCAGCAGGGATGATGGACGTGAACTTTCAAAAGGACATTTTCCCTTTAACGTTGCCAGAGGTGGAGCTTTAATCCTCCTTCGCTGTGCTTTTCTTCCAGCAGACGTTACAAAAAGCAAACTTATGACTGATTGGTACCTGACTTCATGAACCAGCTTCTACAACATCCACCAGCCTCCGTCGACTACAGCCAACCAGGACAGACGCTCTCAATGTAAAACAAAAGAATCCCAGCAACGATTTCACCAAACAAAATACATAGTACAACACACAAAATAAACTCAGAGCAATAAAATTATCATAGATATTTAAAATATATTAGGAGGTTCAGGGGACAGGACAGACAAAAAGTCACATTACCATGATGTAGCACCCTTCAGGTGGGCCTTCCAGCAGATCACTACAATAGAAAAAGGATTTTTGTGTGCTATGAATGTCCTTTTCAAACAATAAATTCCTCTGTTTTTCTTGCTTCTTAGTGATGGTTGCTGCTGGACTACTGCTGCTTTATTCTTTTTCTGGATTTCACTGCGAAAACACAAGGAAGGGAAGTTAATGTCAGAAAACAACGTCAGTAAACACGGTGTTTATGAGGAGATCTTACCATCAGTGCATTCCATTTGGGGTTTCTCCCACTGTCCGTTGGCTCGACAGCGAACCACCGGTGGGTAACGCTGTCTGAATCCTGGGTTACACTGGTAGCGGATGATGGAGTTGATGGGATAATCCAGCTTCTTCTTACCAAACATACGAGCGTTTTCTACCTCCGGCGGGTCTCCGCAAGACACTGAGGGCAGAACAGGAAGCCACAGAGCATCAAATCAAACTGCTTGCATTGAGTATTTTCAGTAAATAGACACTTGTCTGTCCCTGGATGAGATTGTTAAAGATATTAAGATTATTAAATGAGCCGATGCCAAAATATTGAAGCTCACTTGTTGTTATTGCTTGGGCTTATTCTTATCATTTCTTCTAACATTTCCAACACACGCAATTTTGAGAAAACCCATATAAATCTTATATCAGAACATGCGGTTTGATTGGTAAACATATGCTATGACTTCAGGTAGCAGTTCGTCAAACGCTTGTTTCAAAATTTGTTTTAAAAAAAAAAAAAAAACTGCATTACAAATCCCCATTGAAATGAATGAGACGTCAGACGGACAAGTGCCAAAACTCAGCCATCTTTAGAACCTTGTAGCTCCGGCACACAGTTTGCCGACCGAAACTCTCATTGACTCTCATTATATCTGGGCTTAAAAATCAAACAGAGGGTCTCTCTAACCTGCCACAAAATCTATATAAAACACTGTACATATATGAAAATACATCAGCTCGTTCAAAACAAGATGGCGCTTCAAGCAGTGAAACATTTTTTTCGATACAATAGATTTTAAGCTGTGACCATTTGTTTAAAGGGCTAATCCTCAGTCTGACTGTCTGCTCTGCTCACTGGAAGCAACCAGTGACTCATAGCTGATTGGCTGATTGATACACTTTCAAAGTAAAAGCTAAAAGATGTTTAAAGATACTGATCAGGGTTTGTGAAACACGCTGGCTTTTCAAAATAAAACGTCCTTACATAAATTATACCTTCTGTCCAATTCTAGCAGGACAAAAGCTGCATTGGTACATTCAAAATGTCTTCAGAAATCTTCTAGTTGAAGTTTGTGATGTCAATCAAACCTACACGAGTCGATGTTTCTGCAGCTGTGTGAACAAGGTTTGATGAAGTTATGGAGACCTGTCATGCAGCACTGCAACTTAAACCAGCTTTCTCTACATCAAATGGACAAATTTTAGTCCATGTTGAAGAAAATCAAATATTTGGCAGCTAAAGAGATAAATATTTTCTCTGAAGTTAGTAAAACCAGGAGGCTGAATGTTTGCCTTAAATTCATCAGGTGAAGACAAACACGACTCCACATCCGCTGGAAGTGTTGAAACATGTTTGCTTTAACAAGGTGATGCCAGGTTAGAACCATGAGTCCGCTGCTGCTGTTTATTCATGTTTTTCTTCTGTCTGGTGGCCAAACATCTCTGAATAAAGCTTTACAGGTGTTGCTGCAGATGCGAAGAAGAAACAAACGAACCTGAGCCTTTCTTGCAGGTGAACGGAAGGTGGTAGTTACAGGGAACGTCGTTCCACTGGCCGCCCTCGTGCCAGATCATCACCACACAGTCCTCTCCGGAGTTAAAGTAGTTGTCCGGCTGGTTCGGCCTCCAGTTCTCGTATTGCTGAAGAAGAAGAAGAAGAAGAAGAAGAAGAAGAAGAAGACATTTGTTTTCTGCAGGTAAAACTCTGAACGTAGAACAAGTAATTAGGAATCTAAACACAGTATTTATTGAACTGCATTGTCCTTCGTCATGGATGTTATTCATCATTTAGTCAGGGGGTATGTCTGTTAAACAGTCAGCACAACCAGATGTTTAATCAACTTGGACATTTCCACTTGAACTCCAGGTTTATCAGGAATTATTATTATAAAATAAAAAAAGCTGACTGTCTTGAAACGTAACCACTTTCATTCATATTTAAAGCTGAAATTATGTTGGAAACAAACACAAAACCACTGCTCCTTTTCAGCTGTGCCTGAAGAAACAAACTGTTTCCATTCTGCTTATGAAGCCACATTCTTGTTGGTGCACCTGTTTGGCTTTTTTGTGCCTTTAAATAAACTCACTTGTGCTGACTTTACATGTACTTTCTCACCTTCTCAGACAAACTCTTATCGTGAGTGCAGAAAGCATTTTTCATCGTGCTCGCTGCCAGAAACACTTGAACAAACCTCGACAGAATCACTAAAAGCCTTTTCATGCATGTTGAAATTCCCTGTTGATCTACTGGAACGTTTTCAAAGTTCGTTTAGTTACAAATGCTTCCTTTATAACAGAATCTACTGAGATTCAGTGACTGTTTTTTAAATTGATAGTTTTGCTTTGAGAAAAAAAAAGACTTCATGCTGCATCTTAAATGGAGAAAACCCAGGAGGCTGCTGGAGTCAGGACTTGTGTCTTTCTCACTGATTTGCATGTGTTTGTGACTTTTTTGTGTGTCTTTGTCAATCATTTTATTTCTCTTTGCAGTTGCTATGCATCCCTTTGTGGGCATTTTGTTTGTCTTTGTGACTATTTTGTGTCTTTGAGGGTCTTTGTGGCCATCTAGACTTGTTTTTGTGGCTTTTTGTGTCTTATTTGGATTTCTTGAGTGTATTTTTGTTGTTTTGCATCCCGCTGGTGTTTTATTACTGCTCTTAACGCATATTGTGTGTGTCTTTGTGGTTGTTCTTGCATGTCTTTGTACTCTAACTTTTGGTCTATTTAGACTGTTTCTAGTTTTTTTGATTCCTTTTGTGTTTTTCTTACTTGTCTTAATGGATGTTTTGCATCTCTGTGGCGCTGTTGTGTGTCTCTGAGTGATTGCTGTCTCTCTCCGTCCATCGAGTGTGTGTGTCCTTGAGGTTGCTTTCGTCTTTTTCTATCAGTTTCGCATGTTTTCATTTCTTTTATTCGCGCCTTGAGTGCATTTTGTTGTTTTATTACTTGTGTTAATGTATATTTTGTGCGGTTTTCTGCTTCTTCATGTCCGTCTTCATGTCCCTGTTGTTGGTTTGTATAATCTTTTGGCATCCTGTTGTGTTTTTTACTTGTCCTTGTGTCTGTTTTGTGTCTTTGAGGTTGTTCTCTGTCTCTTTGTGGTTGTTTGCGTTTTTCTTGTCAAAATTTTAGTCTTTTTGAACTGTTTTTTCAGCATCCCTTTGTGCTTTTACTTTTCTTAAGTGTTTTGTGTGTCTTTGTTTTTGTGATTTGTGTTTTTGTGTCAGTTCTGAATGTCTTTATGTTTTATGTATGTTGTGCTTTTTGCATTTCCTCTGTGTGTTTTTGTTGTTTTGCAGAAGTTTGTGTTTTATTACTTGTCTTAATGTATATTTTCGGTCTGATTAATTGATTGATTTCCACCTCCTTGGGTGTTTTATGTGTCTTTGTAGCTGTTTTGTGTGTCTTCGTGAATGTTTTTTGTATTTTTCCGGGAGTTTTGCATGGCTCTTTATGCCTGTGTTGTGTGTCTTTGTTGTTATTTTGCAAGTCTCGGTACTGAAAAATGGAATCTTTTCTGTCTTTTTGTAGTTGTTTCAAGACCCTTTGTGGTTTTTTTAATCATCTCTGGGGCTGTTTTGTGTGTCGTCGTGGTTGTTTTGTGTCTCTCAGTGAATGTCTTGTGAGCCTTTGTAGTTTTGTGTGACTTTTTCATACTTTTGTGTCTCTTTGTGGTCCTTTTGACTTTCAAAAAACACATTTCTACCTGTTCTGTCATGCCCTGAGGAGTACAAAAACTGTCCTCTGCCTTAAAACAACATTAAACCATCAGTGCAGCATCTTAACTCACCACCGGCGTCCCGTCTGTCCACCTGAAGTCGTCCTCTACTGTCTTGTCATTCAGTCCGATCCACTGGTAGTCCTGAGCGTTAGCTGTGAAAGCAGAAAGAGGATGTTATTCTTTATTTTTTCTCTCTCTCTGCGCACAAACACACCCGCCACATCAAAACACTCACAGTTGACAAAGTCCTGCTCCTCGGGTGTCTCGATGCTGACCAGGTGGGCCTTCAGGTCTCGGCAGCGCTGCTCGGCGTCCAGCCACGTCTCTCTGTCAGAGAAGTGCAGGTAGCAGCTCCCCTGAAACTGAGTCCAGCCGTCTTCACACGGCAGCTCCTCTGCAGCCGCAACAGCAACAGTGTGAACAGTGTGAAAGAGCTCATTTACATCCATGTAAGGCTTTCTCAGTGTATGTTTTCAGGGCTCAGACATTTAAAAAAGTCCTAAAATAAAGCATCTGGTGATGAGAAGCTTCTATTTTCTTCTCATTACTTTGTCCACAAACCACGCAGTGTTTCACTTTACTGATGATGGACAGTGTTTCCATCCTACAATACACAAAATGGAAAACTACACATAAAGCTCCTCTTCAGCAGGCAAAGTTTTGCCTAATGTCCATTTTTTCCTCCTTTTACTGTAACATTCAAAGGCTTCATTCATTCTGTTGCTCCACCTTGATTACTTTATTTAAAGGGTCAGTTCAGCCAAATTACAAAAAGCTCACATATTTTTCTACTTACCCCTTCTACTGCTCAAACAAGTCAACAGGTTTGGCTTTATTTGCAGTTTAAGAAATCTACATCTGAGAACAGCACGCCTTTTATACGATGTCCTGAGCGCTGATGTTCACTCTCAGTTTTTGTATGTTTGAAAATAATAATCTCAGATCCACTAATTAGCCTTCAGCTGCATCATTCAGCACAAAGACTCAGTGTTAAAGAAACTTCTGTACAGAACAGAACATCTACTTCTGACCTGATAACAAGATCCCAAAAACTCTATCAGGAACTTACTGTTCGTCTATTTAGAACAAAATAATCTTTGAAAAGCACTAAGGTGTGGTTAGGAGTTTTCAAAGGATGTTTAGTTCGTCTGGTCAGATCGTTTCTCTTTGAAGCAGAAGTCTGTGGAGGTTTCCACCATGTAACACCAACTCCTGTCCAAGACCAACAACCTGTTGGTGGGAATGATTTGCTTCAGACGGAGTTTTTAGGAGATTTTGCATGATCTGGTTTGAACTGCAGTTCTGTGTTCATCCTTTTGTTTCTCCAACATCCTGAAATGCAGATTTGTCAGCACATTGATTCTAAATGAATTTATTTAAAAGATAAATACTTGAAGTGATTCTTTTCTTTGTAAAATATCCATTTCTAAGTTTTTAGACAACAAAGACAAACAGCTTCTGTTCTTCGGAGAGTACAAATCAGCCATACAAAAGGTCTTTTGGTCTATTTCTAAATACCATTCATGCATCATTATAGATGTTGCTTGGAGAACATGTAATTATCTGAGCTATTTGTCTGTATCAGGAACACCTCAACCTGTACATCTTGTACTACAGCGTGCCGTCTCTCCTTCCTCACTAACCTTGGAAGACAACTAATTTCTCCCCTCAGCCTTTAAGAAATAACAGGTCAAGGCTATCCTTTCCCTCCTACACCATCCAATGCATTCAGAATTTCTACACTGTTATAATCATGTGCTTTATTGAATAGAAACCATATTGATTACATAAACAACACAGTTTCTTTCGAATTTGTGCAAATGCTGCTTCATGAAAATACCGTTGGCTTTCACATTGAGCACAGATTAGGTTCAGGTTCAATTAAACCAATTATCAGAGAAACTGTCCTTCTGCAAATAGTTTCCAGTATGTTTGTACTCGGAAAACTCACAACGTTACAGTTGCAGCACCAGACAAACGTTCATATAATAAATTTGCATTAATGAGATGCTTCTAGTTTTACTGTCTAGTCTGGCTTCTGGATGTGAGAGTTTGTCCTGGATTAAAACGGATATTTGCAGGGTGACAATGCAGACATGAGACATGATCGCTCCACGTACAGTAAAGGGAATGAGTTTGTGCTAATTTGACATAAATCTGTGCATTTTCTGGTTATTCTTGATCATTTAATAAACAAACTATATTCAGACGCTGTTCAAGACAAAGGTTACCAAAGGTTCAAGTGTTTTGAGCAGTCAAACACTGAGCCATTGCTGCATTACCTGAATATGTTTTTATAATTTGAGTGAACTGACCCTTTAGATACCTTTATGGCCTTTTGCCATTACAGGGAAGCAGGTTGACAGATGCATATCATGCATCTTCCATGACTTTGTACTTTCACAGAGCCACTGCGGGTAACGACGCCGTCTGCTGGTGGAGTTTAGCGTCTCCCTCCAGTTGTTTTTGAGAGGCTGTTGTTAGTATTAATTAGCTGAAGCTGATCTCGTACCGATCTCACAGCGTTTCCCTCCGTAGTTTGGCAGGCATAAGCATGTGAAAGAGTCTGCGCTCTCCACACAGGTGGCTCCATTGGCACAAGGGTTGGGTTGGCACGCGTCTACCTCTGCAAAAAAGGGGGGCGGGTGACACTACTGTTTCAGCGAGGGGTGAGGAGGGAGGCAGGGAGGGTGAGTAGGGTGAGGGAAGACGAGCTGTAATAGCAGAACTATCACAGCTCAGGACTAATGCGTTAGTGAACAATACTGCAGCTGCTGCAACCTCTGATCCAACTTAGACTTACTGCACATCAGCTATGCTCATTATCCTCCAGGTCGCCAAATGAGGATATATTAAAATAAACACCAAATGTTTGATTATTTTTGCACAGGAAACCTCCAATAATCCTACTAATAGCAGTAAGAGTATGTTTGAATCCATGCTCGGTTGCAGCAGAAGGTCAGTATTCAGACTCCAGCAGGATGACAGCACACATATGATGCCAGGAAGCACATATGTCGCCACAGATTTAGAGGCACACAGCAGAGCCAAGGCGGCGTGTCGGCACAGCACACCAAAAACAACATATAGGCTGAAGACACTCAGAGATAAACACGGAGGCGATGAATCCTCGGAGCAGAGCTGGTGCACATCCAACAAACAACCTGACATTCAAATCTGCCACGTGAACACAAAGACCGAGAGCCAGACAAAACGACAAAAACAAACAAAGCAAAAACATGACGCAAAACAAATCAGAGGATGGAACAGTAGAGAGAGAAAAGAGATTTTTTTTCGGTGAGTGTAATAAGGTTGATTCGTAGTGACAGTGAATATAATCAGTTCAATTCTTATCTGAAAATATAACATCAGGTGACATTAACCCTCTGAACCCCAACCAGTTTCTGGGTGTTCTGGGTGCTCCGATCACATTTTTATTCATTTTGGGCTCATTTTTTACTGCAAAATAAACTCCTGCACCTCAATGGAAACAGCAGAATCCTACAGCGCTACGAGTACTGAAAAGATGGATACCCTACATGCTGTTTATATTTTACAGTTTTTATTTTTGCAAAATGTACAAATTGCATATTTTCACACGACTCTGCACATAAACTCTACAAAGATGTTTCACCATGCTGGATGTAGCTTCTAACAACTCCCTCCTCTGTATACAGTTTTTGAGCCACGCTGTATTTACTTTATTTATCAGATATGTTCTATTTTGCTCTCAGTCTCTCTAATTTGTGTCTACACTTGTCTTCTATCTGCTCTGTGCAAACAATGCCTGCAGTTCAACCGAAAAGTGAGAGAATATTTGTCACGTGATGTGCGAATGTGGAATTTTTTACAGGATCTGGTGCAAATAGTTTAATTTTAGTGATATTTTAAACTAGTCATGTAGAATAAATAAAAAAATTTGATGAAACACCGAAATTTTAAGCTTAGATCTGGGTCATTTTCTTAACTCAACCACTTGGCACATGTGATTTGTACAAAGGCCGTCAGAAAGTAGAAAACACAACAATTATTTCTGTTTTTTACCGATTTTGGCTCAAACAAATGGTGTAATTTTCTTTTCTTTTTGTCAAGAAAATGTACCTTTAAAACCAACTGGTAGGTTTGGGATTTCAGAGGGTTAACAAACAGGTATATAAAACATGCAAACAACAAACATACACAGAGAAACATCACAGGAAAACTTCTGTAAACCAACATGTCATTGCACAATACTGATTTAGATTGCAATCAGGAAAGAAAGTGGGAAAATTAAAACAAGGGACGTCACTCGCTGGACTCACCATCACAGACCGCAACTCCATCCTCTACTGTGCACGAAACATTTCCACAGGGGTTGGGTTCACAAAGGTTAACGCCGCCTAAAAATGAGGTAAAATTTCAGTCATTTGGCCACTGAGGTGGTCCTTAACGCATTGATTTTTCTGCTGATTGTTTAATGCAACTAATTACACCAGCTCTCGGCCTAGCAAAGCAAAATGCATTAAACTCTCTGACCCTAACCGTGATCCTCATTACAGCCTGTCCAGCCGTTGGGGGTTTTGCTTTATGTCCCCAAAAGGAACTTGTTTCTTGACAGAACAACAAATTATAAACATGTCTTATTATCTGACAGTCTGTGACAGAAAATATACCGTTGTCTTATGTAACAATAGGTTTACCTACCTTCTGTAATGCCTGGTGGCTGTACGGAGGCTGGTGTAGTCGATACAGGAGGAGAAGACAGTCCAGCAGGTATAAGAACAGGGCTGGTGCGCATGCTGATGTCACCAGGAGTCTCCGAGAGTTCAGTCCGATTAAAGGCCTCTTCTGGTTCCGTGATGTTCTCTGTCAGTGCCAGTTTGCTGGACGGAGAAGGCAGAACTACCTGATCTCCAGAAGCCGCTCTTGAAAACATGGTGCCGGCATCTCCGCTACCAGAGTAAAATCCACTGCCGCTACCGCTTCCTTCTCCAAGGTACTCTACCGATGTCTGTCCGAGCTCCATTGACAGTGTCGTCTCTCCAACCGTCTTCGTCATAATATCTCCAGTCAGGAATGTAACACTGCCTTCTTCTCCGCTTGCAGAGGACTCGGATCCAGACATTCCTGAGCTAGACATTCCTGATCCAGACCCAGACAGAAAACTTGAGCTTCCGAATCCAGACAAATGTTCCCCACTTCCCTCTCCGGAGCTGTAGACTAAAACCCCAGAGGCCTCCTGCTCCTGCTCTCCGGAGGCCGACGCTGTGAGTTCTGTAAACCCTGATCCCACTAAGGTCACACCAGAAAGGAACTCAGTACCGCTTCCAGAACCTGAGCCACTGAGATCACCACTGGCAACCCCTGATCCTGACATGTCTCCAGAACCACTGAACACCAGAAGGCCTCCACCCAGCTCGTGCTCCTTGTGGGTAACAGCTGTGGACGCTTCGATCAGTTCATCGTCTATCAGTAAGATCTGAGTGTCTCCACGTCCTGAAAAGCCTCCTGACTGTCCACTACCGCTTCCTGAGGGGGGTGCTGATGTAATACCGCTGGACCCAGAAAAGTCCTGGCTGGTGATAAAACCAGATGACATTCTGGAGAATTGTCCACTTTGCCCAGAGCCAAAACCAGAACCAGAGCCAGAGCCAGACAAGGAC